CGGAGCGAGCCCTCATCGTCAGGAAGGTTAACTTCAAGCCCTATAACCCAATAACACTAAGCGCTGCGAGCCCTAATCGTCAGGAAGGTTAACCCCAAGCCCTATATGTCTGGAAGGTTAATCCCAAACCCTATAACCCCACAACACTAAGCGCTGTGAGCCCTAATCGTCAGGAAGGTTAACTTCAAGTCCTATTACCCAATAACTCTAAGCGCTGCGAGCCCTCTAAGGCTCGTAGCGCTTAGTGATATTGTGTCGAGCCATGGTTTAATAAGGTAGCTATACTGATCATCTTTAATCGACGATATCTCTGCGAAAAATAAAGCTTTTTACAAATAAAAAAATGCGTTTTGAAGGGGAGAGACAGTAGTTTCCAATGATATTTTCAGTTTTTAGAAAAAAAAATTTTTCGTCAAGTTACATAACCTTGAAAATAGCAAAAATACGTGTTTTTTGCACTTTTAGGTTAGAATATCTCGGAAACCTAGGGTGATTGATCAATCCTGAGGCCAGATTCTGAGTGTGTAGTGTCTGATCTCTGGAATTTTTTCCTTGTTGGACTGTGTTATTATTCTATCATATAATCACCAAATATATCCAAAATTCATAATATATTCAAATTCATTCTCGCTCAATAGCTATTTTTTCTACAAAAACGTAGTTTTACTGTCTCAAAATAATTTTAAAAACAACAATTATGTAGTTTTGCTATTGATAATATATAAATAATTTTCAGTTTTTTTAAAAACAATCTACTAATATTCAAACTGACCATTACCAGCCAATGAAGTACCTGTGTGTTAATCCTCGTACTGTAGGTATATGTTTGTACATAAAAAATGCGTTTTTCAATTATTAGGTTTTGTAATTTTTTATTTTGAGTTATATGTTTTATAAAAATATACATATAATTGTTTAAAATGTAAATTGAAAGCATTGGTACAAGAAGAGGATTACTTAATTATTGTTCTAAAGAATACTCGTTAATACACTCTGCCAGTTTCAGAGCAGTTTCAACAGGTGTTGTCCCTTGTTGGGAACATTTGTTAGTAATTCTCTCCAGTTCTGCTGCATCAGAGTAGTATCTGGAAAATTTCTCTTTAACCATGTTTTTGTTGATACTGCCATCTTGGTTTATAACACCAGCCTTAGTAGATATACAAAGTAAATGAGCGCCTACTTTAGCTCTGTCGGTAATTTCTCCTTCGTCAAGTGCCTTCATAATATTTTCGTCCAAATGGGTTGCTTTGTCGGCTTGGCATTCTTTGTGGAGGTCTCTATTAATTGCAGTTCCAGTAACCTGAAGATTATTATAAGGTATTATGTGGATATTTGTAAAGCAGCAATTCTATAATGTTTGATATAAAATTTTAAAATAAAGTGCATATGAAATATAATAATATTATTATTAATAGATTATATTGTACAGGGTATCCAGAGTACAAATTCTTGGGATAAAAATGAAACAATTTAGCTAAGTATTCTTTTATACTTTATTTCCAAATTCATTTTCAAACAACTTTCATATTCTTTATTCCATTTAAATCATATTTGATATGTTATACTTGTAAGGTGACCCATCGAAGGCGGATTCTTCCATGGCTCCGCTAATATTAATTTATATATTAATATAAGAAAGAATTTAAAATAAAAACTGCGTCAAATTAGTCGCTACACATTTCCAAAATATTTTCGATTATACATGATTCTTCGTTTCTCTAGGCATTATCTAACTTTATTTTTCAAATAGAATTATTGCATTTGTTAATATGCCGTTGAATTCAATTAGTATGTAATATATCCTAATATACGATAACATACCTTAATAAAATCGAAAATAAATCAAATATTGCATCTGTCTACCAAATATAATACACATAAAGTTCTATTACAAATTCCCTTATTGAAAATTTAAATTTCTGAGGTCCGCAGCTACTATCTCAAATATACTCTAAGCTCGTAAGGTTTGGAAAAAATTCGATAAATCATTATTGAAGGGTTTTGACAGGAAATCCTCAGATACGTCAACTTTAGTTTATAAAATGTCCCTTTTTTCAGTCATCAACTTTTTTTTGTTTTGTTTGTTTTTCAACTATGACGTCATCGGCAATTTTTTTAAATGGCAACCCATATTTTTTTCCACGAATTTCGATAGAGCACATTTTTCTGAGTACGAATATGTCAAAAATATATGACCTTCAAGATGGAAGTTTTCGAAATATTCGGTTCCAAAGTTTCAAGAATGCATTATACAAGCGATGACAAAATACTAATCATTTATCAAGGAAGCGCTGGAAAAATTACAGTTTTGACAGTTGTTAGAATTTTGAAGTTTGTCCTCGCAAGTTTGTGTTTTATTTTAAGTTGATTAATCATTATTCGATCAGAATTCATTTTATTTGAAAATGGCCCGTCGTTTGAGTGAAAGGGAAAGAATCGAAATTTTGATGATGATGGGTTACGGGGACAGAGCTCGCACATAAATAGAAGTTTACCGTTTATTTAACTACAAATATCCAAACAAAGAACCAATTACACAGTCCACCATTAGTAAAATAGAGCAAAAGTTTTTAGAAATGGGTCATGCGAGAAATCACCCTAGAACGGGTCATCCACCAGTACAAGAAGGTGTTAAATTGAATGTTCTACTAGAGCTTCAAGAAAATCCCCATTTACCCACCCGCCAAGTGGCGGCAAACAACGGAATAGTTCAAAGCTCCGTCTTAAAATATTTGAAATTGTACAAATGGCATCCGTATAAAGTGGTTTTGGTCCAAGAATTAAACGAAGATGATTCTGACCGTAGGTTACAGTTTTGTGAAGCCATGTTGCAACGCCTGATTGATGACGACGGATTCTTACGCAATATTGTTTTTTCTGATGAGGCTACCTTTTATCTCGACAGCACAGTAAACCAGCAAAACTGTAGATATTGGTCTCCTGAAAATCCACACTGAAAAATGGAAACTCATAGTCAGTTTCCACAAAAAGTTAACGTTTGGGCTGGCCTTGTTGGTAACCGTATTTTAAAGCCATTTTTCTTTGAAGGCGCATTAACAGGAGAAAAATATTTTGAATTTTTAAGAGACGATTTAGTCCCTGCACTTACGGTGCTTTACCCAAATGACGTCGATCCCGATCTGCCCAGTAACACGACACATATTATTACTTACTCTGTGAACACGATATGGTACCAACAAGACGGTGCACCACCTCATTTTGCAGTGATCGTTCGTGACTATTTGAACCAAGTATTTTCTAACCATTTGATTGGTCGAAGGGGAACTATCAAATGACCCCCTAGATCTCCGGATCTCACTCCCCTATACTGCTTTTTATGGAGCCATTTAAAGAGCAAAGTCTATTTTAATAGACCAAATACCATTGAAGAATGAAAGGACAGAATTCGCAATGAAATTCGAGCCATTCAACCAGATATTCTTGATAAGGATCTGCACAAGTTTCAGTGGCGGATGGGATATTGCCAAAAAGTCAATGGAGGTCACTTTGAAAATTTCCTGTAATTTTCTTCTTTACATTTGTACAGAAACCTTTTTTCATTTGTTAAAATTGTTGTTGACTGATTATTACTTAAAAAATTGAACAAATTACTCCTAAAATCTCTTAAAATGTTCGATAAGCTTTTAAAAAACTTGACCCACCCGATACCTTGTACATGGTACATTCTTGAAACTTTGGAACCCAATAGACAGTTTAAGTTGTGTCCGATACGTGAACATATACGTAGAATTTGACCGTTGCGCATGCTCAAATTTGTATCATGATCATCTACAATCAACTTAAACAGAACTGTCTATTATCTCGAAAACTTCCATCTTGAAGGTCATACGTTTTTGACATATTCGTACTCAGAAAAATGTGCTCTATCGAAATCCGTGGAAAAAAATATGGGTTGCCTTTTAAAAAAATTGTCGATGACGTCATAGCCCAAAAACAAATAAAACAAAAAAAAGTCGATGGCTGAAAAAAGTTACATTTTATAAACTAAAGTTGACGTGTCCGAGTATTTCCTGTCAAAACACTTCAATAACGATTTATCGTATTTATTCTAAGCTTTACGAGCTCAGTGTATGAGGTACAACCATATCTTATCTCGTTTAGTTCCGGAGATAACTTCAAGGATGCTTTGATGGTTTTTCACAGAATATCAGTTAACACTAACGATAAGTTTTAGACCTAGCATTTGCAGGAATGCAAAAAACACATAAATGGTTATTATAGTTGAAAAAATATAAGTAGGCTGATTTAAACCTGATGGATTATTTCGTAAGGCACAGTTAAACAAAAATTGCCAGTCAATACCCTTGAAAATCTAAGAGAAAGAATACTCCAGGCATGTCAAGAATTAACTCCACTTCAATGTCACTATACGGGTGTACCGTTCATGTTTAAAAAAAACTTGTGTGCAAGTTCCTCATGTGAAAATAATGGGAGTAGTTCATGTAACGTTTTTTTCTTAGACGCCCTGTTTTCGAGATAGAGTGTATTGAAGTTGTTACTTTAAAAATGATTTTCCCTAATTATTGTCTTTAAATCGACTAAAGATAATAATGTCAAAATTTGTACACAACAACACAAACATCAACCGTGCGTTAAGAATAATGTGCAAATAGTTTCTTTCTGAAAAGCAGTGTCGCCAAAACAGATAATTGGAGGGGTAAAATTGAAAAACAATATGTTATATGTCAAAATTTCTTACATTTCTAAGCGGTTTTGTAAACTCTAAAGCATAGTATAAAAAAGGTATATTTGTCGAAATTCGCCAGCATGTAGGTACGATTTTCGAGAAAAATTAAGTTGCATTTTTTTGGTTACATAAAGCTGCACAAGTACATTAACAAAATATTAAATCGAAAGGGGACGTTACCATTGAATGAGCTGAAGACATTTAGCTACCAATTTAACAATATAATTTTAATTTCTTATGTATCACATAAAACAGTTAAGTTGTAAAACATTTTATTAACTTAAAGAAATAAAAAAATTAAAATTTATTTTAAGTTTAAGCTTGTTGTAAAATAACATTTGAAAAAGTAAACCAAAATAAACAAATTATGGAATTAATTACCCATCTATTAATAACTAATTTTAGATTTTGTAAACTACTAAGTACACTACTACTACTAAAATAAACAATTATTGAATGGACTGAATTGTTGGACACGAAAGCTTAAAAAAGTGACAAGAACAGAAAAATGTTAGGAAACAGACTCGGAGGCAGACAGAACAAAATAGCTGCACAATTAAATAAATGAGCAAAACTCGAAATAGTACAGTAGATGCTGAAATTGTTCCTCATTTGCTTCCACACAACTAAATTTTTCTTGAAAATGTACATGCTACCGAATTTCGACAAGTTACCTTTTTTTGTAGTATGCTTTAGAGTTTACAAGACCATTTAGAAATGTAACAAATTTTAACTTTAACATATTTTTTTTTTGGATTGTAGGTACCCCTCCAATTACCTGTATCGGCGACACTGCTTTTCTAAAAGAATCTGTTTGCACATTATTCTTAACGCACTGTTGATGTTTACTCGTGTACAAATTTTGACATTTTTTTCTTAAGCCGATTTTAAGATAATTAAATAAAAAGATTTGGAAAGTAACAACTTCCACACACTGTATCTCGAAAACAGAGCGTCTAAGAAAAATAACGTTACATGAACTACCCCCCATTATTTTCACATGAGGAACTTGCACATAAGTTTTTTTGAAACATGAACGGGACACCCTGTATAATTAGAAGATGTCGAGCTTACAAGTCCGAATAAATCATTTTGAACATAGTAATTTCTAAAGATTTTATTTTCATTTTGTTATTACTTGTTTATGTTCCATTTTTAGTTGTGTTTTAATAACTTTCATTTTATGAATATTGCTGTTAAACGTCTTATTTAATTCCATCAACAAAGTAACAGATTTATCTATTACACGTAAAAAATAAAAAAACTTTATGGTTAAATTACTGGAACCTACGCACGTCCCTACTTAATAAAAATTCTGGATTACCCATATTAATTATCATATCAATAATAAATTGATAGTAGTAACTGTATTAAACAAAATAAATGCATGATAAATAATAGAAAATAAAGACAAATATTAGAAACTATGGTAAATATAAAAACAATAAAATTGTAGAGACAAATTTAATTACTGTGAACATTGTCCAACGTTACAGGTACACCACAACCAATCCATATCTGATAATAATGAATGTCTATCTATGTTTTTGAAATAAACAGTAACGTGTTTAGAATAAATCTGAATTTGCTATGACACAGTAGCAAACACAAGAAAAACTCAAAATATATTTTTTGTCTAAGACAAAATATTACATTCAAAAATTGTACCAATTGCCTACCCTTATCTCCACCACGGATGGCTTTATTACTACAGTAGGATTAAAATTAACATATAAAAACTATTCAAGTGGAAAACAAAACAGAGATGTATTTTTTGGAATAGAAAAGAATTTTATGAAAGCAAAGGAAAATAATGAGTTCCAAAAATACCTATTTAAGTTGCCCTTTGTTTAAATGCTTGATATTTTTGTTTTTTATAAAATTAATAAAGCAAGGAGTAATAAATTATGTACTCAGGTCAACATCACAACTTTATCAGTAGTAAATTTGTCTAACAAAGCGGCATTCTACACGTGTTATTTCAAGTGCATGTCATAGAGAAAGTTAAATAACGAACAATACTTTCTTTTACTAAAAAAATATAAACAATAATGTAATTCAGTACCTATACTATACATATATAAAAACGTTTAAAATAAATATTAATAAACATATAGTAATAAGTATTAAACAGTGTACAACACACGTATAAAAAAGTACCGAATATCAAAAGACTCAATTTCTCTTTGATTTAATCTTCATACTGACCTCCCATTTTAATATAGTAAATAATAAAACATTTCATTCCTACTGAAATAAATACAACCCCGAGTGAAGATTACCATGTCGGACCAGCTTGGAAGTAGATTATTATATTTAATTATTCAAATATTTCATCAGTAGATGTAGAACAGTCGCTCTCTTCAGATTAAGATATTTTATCACTGCCACGAATAAGTTTCGCTGATACAAGGGTAGAAATATACCTGATGATGCGATCTATAACGGATCCCATCCAGATTGTGGAACCGATAGCAACGATGAGTAAAACAATTTACGTGTTTCACACATACAATGACATAAATCTTATAATCATTGTTCACTTAGTTTTATGTTGATGATCCGCACCGCACGTTTTTGGTGCGCGGCCAATTATGACAGCTCTACTTATTACTGAGACATATGGCGACAAACTATTTAATCAGAAGTTACACCAAATTTTACTTAAATATCTCTACTCACTTTCAATATACCTATCAAATCAATAGCATTATTCTTTTGGAATCTTGAACACACTGTATCTCGAAAACGAAATGTTTCCGGGTCTATGTTTATATACATACATTTTTTTTACTTTTTTTGACCACAGGAAAACTTCTTCAAAGCATGTTAACTTAGTCCTGAAACACCCTGTATAAATAACTCTCCTAAAACTTTTCTGGTAAGGTAAAACTAAATTTATTTATAAAATAAGTAAGTGATAAGATGACTGATCTTATTGGAATAAAGATTTATTTATTCAAAATACATGTTTTTAACATGCATCCATTATGAATGGATTTTCTGGTTACACATCTCATCTCATTTTAAAAATGGCGCTAACGAAATTGAAGTGCAGATTTGAGTTAAATGTTGATGTCGTTTACAAAATGTCCGTTGGTTGTTCTTGAAGCAATCACACCAGATGGTATAATGATTTGCCATGATCATCTTTTCACTCCCAATCATTATTATTTACAACGGCAATTCCGATAAAAAAAGAAACTGTAATCACAAAACAAATATAAATTATAGAACCCACGAAACGACTTTGCATATACGGGCCAACCATAGATTCCTTGTGCGAAAATAATGGAACTTTCCTTATGCCATCTATTTCAATATTTTTTACAAGTTTCTAGGAACAATTTTAAATAAAAGCATAGCATTATGGAAAAATATCTTTTAGTAGATATTTCCTTAGAAATATTTTATATCCTAGGTTATACTACAAACGCAGATGCAGACATAAATTTTAGAATACTAGAGGACAATAATGTACAATAAAATTTTACTACGGTAAAAGTATATATTTTGTTGTAGAAATACACGAAAATAGTTTTATACATTATTACAATTGTGACAGTCTTTTGGACAAAATAGAAGACCACTCACAATCCTTTTTTCAAGACATTTTTTTTAAGTATACGCAAGTTCTGGTATATCAAGTTTCATTTAAGTAGTAGATTTGTTGCCAACTTTGAACTAGCTAAACGAAGTAACTTTGGATTGGTTTAATTCGATTTATTTTAACTGCAACCCTTTGTAGTAACTCAATAAACACGGATTTTAGGGACACTATTTATATGTATGTATTTTACATAATAAAAATAAACATCAGATAAATATTACATCCTTACTATAATCCACAAAAAACATGATTAACTATGATTTAATTGATTAAAGGAAACTTTGTTGTAGACAATTATATTAATTCTTGCCTAAAATCGCTATTGTTTCATAATAATGGATGAGGTGGAATATTTTAACTGACAGTTTAGATATTTCGAAATATGAACGGAAGAAAACATGCGATAACTGAACACAAAGTTTTAATTTGACCAATGAACATCTTTGTAGTATTATATAAATAACCCATAATGAATGTAAACGAAAATTTGTATGAAAACGAAAAAATTAAGGAAATATTGAAATTGATTTGAAATTTCAATGTTGACTTACCAAGCCGCAAAAGACAGAAACACACACAATCAACGCTAAAACCTTCATGATTTGTTGACTATTAAACTATTTTTATTATGACATATCATTGCAGAGAGCTGATGTTCTTATATAGGGGAGCTAAATATCTTATCATTTGAAAACATTTTTAATTAGACAGAATTCGATATAATCGGTCAATAGCTCGCCAGATTGAGACAAAAACTTGTTCTAAATTCATTTGTTATGTAATACACCGGTGCGGTGGGATAATTTCAATAGCTCTTACAGGTTTATAATTCCTTTTTTTTACTACTTGAAAAATCGGCATTGCTCTAATGAGAAGTAATGTCTCCCTCCCTAGGTAAATACTGATATTAAAAAAACGCCTAGGTAAATAATGAAGAATTTTCTATATTTTCTATACAGAAACTTTTTAACTTAAGTCTAAATAAAAAATAAATAAATAAACTCAAAAAGTCAACACTGGTAAGAAGGAAATTATAAAAGAATTATTTGAAATTATAATTGTACCGTTATGGCAAATTATTTATAATCCTGCATTTCCTGTTTTAATAGAACACTTGCATATTTATTTTCGTATTATGAATAATTTTCGTATTTTGTGAACATTCATTGGCACTTATCAATAAATCACCTGGAAGTTTTCTAGGACAGTATCTTGATATGCAAAGGAAGTGGAAGAGGTACTTAAATTTTCATTGGATAAGGTAGGTTTTTGTACTACTAATTTAGCAATTCTCTTCTCATCAGATATTGTATCCTCAATATATTATTCAGCCACTGTACCGACTTTCACCCATTTTCTGGCAGAAGTGTTGCCGAGCTGCGTCCTAGAGAATGACCAGAATAACATTTAGGATTTTCGAATTTCATATATTGAGCCATGACATAAAGTACTTCACGAATAGTATTGTATATTTTACATGTTTACCTCTCTATAAAATAAAAAGTTTTCTAATGTCTAATATGTTGACCTGTTAGCTAGGTATTTTTTAACAACATTAATCCATTGTGGCTCAACAATAACAAACTTCCTAGATGTTTCATTCTTTGAAATAGGAATGTCTAAATCATCAATAACCATATTGTAAAGTTCATGTGTTCTGCAGGTACCTGCCATTCCAATAATCACAATAGACTACAATATACGTAATTTTTGTAAAAAGATAAACACAAATTTGCAAAGTATGCAGTGATTATGTTCCTATTAGGTTAAATCATACTGGGCGTCCATTTTACCACAAGCCTTTGTGAATATTCTTCGCTGCATTCAAAAGAATTTTTCTTGATTCAGTAGATAATAAGAGTCACCAAACTGCTGTTGTCGCTGGTACAGTGAATGATACATTCATCGGTTGCACCTGTACTTTTTTAGGCAATGGTGAAAAATCTGTTCGGAATCCATATATGAAAAAAAGGGAAAAAATTACATATAGGCAAATAGTCCGGACGGTATCTGTTTCAAAAAGCCATATTTGGGTGAATCGTATATCCACGGAGATTTTTGGCTTTATGGTTTTCAAATATCACTAGAAATGAAAATTTTTCTATGCGCATAAAAAAAACGTGGGCTTAACTTTTGGGGGCACAATATGTTAAAAAAATTCGAAAAATGTCATATTTTTCTTCCTATTTAATTATGTATCTTTTCAAGAGTTGATTTTAGGCGAAAATGGAAGAGGAAAAAAATGTTTGCAATTAAATTTTTTACAAA